AGCACGGGGCCCAAGTTCCTTCCTCCAGGGAGGGCAACGTGACAGCTGTCCATGGGGCTGAGCCCCTTCCCCAGCCCCGGGAGGGTCCTGCAGGGAACTGAGGGGGCAGAGCCCCTGGATATTTCCGGCTCGGAAATCAAGCAGGGCCTGTTTCCCCGAATGCAGAGGGTCCAGAGGCCAAATCTGTCCCGTAGGCATGTGTGACCCGTCTCTTGTTTCGTACAGAAGGACAGTTGGTTGTGAACATTTAAAAATCAGGAGATTTTATTTAGAAGCTCAGAGGTTCAGTTTCTCTGGAGAAATCGGAAGGTCTAGTGTCACGGGGCCCACGATGGACCGGCGCGGAGAAGAGCTGCCCTCGGGGTCACCCCTCCCACCTGTGCCCCCATGGGTCTCGCCCGCCTGGCCCCGTCAGCAGTTGGCTTGTGAGCTGTTCCTGGATCTGTCTCCGAGGGCTGCTGTAACGAATTACCACAAACTGAGTAGCTTAAAAGACTAGAGATTTATGTTCTCATGGCGCTGGAGGCCAGAAGTTCAAAATTAAGGTGTCGGCAGGCCTGCATTCCCTTCTGAAGGCTCTAGAGGGGCATCCTTCCTTGACTCTAAGCGTTTCTGGTGGCTCTAAATAATCCTTGGTTCGTGGCTGCAAAACTCCGGTCTCTGCCTCCGACTTAACCTGGCCTTCTCTTCGATTCAGGCCTCCCTCCGCCTTTTTCTTTTAAGAACCTTTGCCATTGGGCCTGTGGCCCACCCAGGCAGTCGAGGATACCTCATCTCAAGACTCTTAATTACATCTTCAAAGACACTTTTTCCTAATAAGTTGACATTCACAAGTTCCCAGGGATCTGACGCGGGTAGATCTTCCAGGGGCCACGACTGAAGCACTTCGTGCCTCCGTTACCTCCTCTGTAAAATGGGAATAATAATCACAGCACCTACTTCACATGCTTCTCCTGAGGGCTGCATGAGTTAGAATAGCGCCTGGGACAGGTTAGATATTGTTAGTGTTATTCTTAATCTAAGAAAAGGGGGAAAAAAAAACCCACCCCTTGCGATGGCCAGAGCAGGTGGGATGAACAGGACATGTGCCCAGGGAAATCTGTCCCTCAGGCAGCCACTAACAGCCCGTCTTCCTTCAACTCCCACAGACAACGGCCCCGTAGGTAAGCGGCGCACGGGGACGGCCACCGTGTTTGTCACCGTCCTGGATGTGAACGACAACCGGCCCATCTTTCTGCAGAGCAGCTATGAGGCCAGCGTCCCCGAGGACATCCCTGAGGGACACAGCATCGTGCAGGCAGGTGGCCATGGCCCCTTGGGGCTGTTGGTGGGCTGGGGGCAGGCATGGCTGCCACGTGGAGGGATGGAAACAGAAGAGGGTCCCGCTGCTGCTCCGGAAGTATCCAGTCGGCAGTGGGGAAAGAGGGAGCCAGGCACCCTCCTCCCTCCTGGGGATGGTAGGCCTTTAGTTTCTGTGGCCTAAGACAGCACCCTGGTTCCCCGCAAAACAGAAGGAAGGCCTTGCCTCCCTCCCTTCCCCCACAGCCCTCTCCTCTTCCCCCACCCCACCCGGAGGGCTTTTTGGAACAGCAAGTGGATGGAGCTGTCACATTTTCCCCGGTAGGAGGTGAGGGGGAAGAGGCAGGGCCCAGCTAGGCCCAGAACAGAGCGGCTTTCACGGGGCCCTCGGCCAAAGCTCTCCTCTTAGGAAGTAAACAGGCACAAGAAGAAAGAGTTCCTTTGCCCAGGGTGCAGGACAGCTCTGAGGCTCAGAGGAGAAAGGGGAGGACCTGAAAATGAGGCTTAGGTCCCCTCCCCCACCTCCCCCTGGAGGCCTCCGTTGCTGGATGCGGTGGGAGGCCGGGGCTGAGCCAAACACAGCAAATCTGGGCCTGTCCGCCAGGGCAGACTCCCAGGATCCAGGATCAGAAGGGGCTGGAAGTGGATCCACCTCCCTGCATCGGGGCAGGAGGAAGGCAGGAAATGGGCTGGGAGCAGGGTGCTGACTCCTAGAGGAACGGAGAGTCCAGGAAGCCACAGGGATTTGCAAGAGTCTGGGGGTGGTTCCAGAAGGAGGAACGGGGAGGTTTTCCTGGCCTCAGCTTCTCCTCTAGCCTAATACCTGCCACCCCACTCACTGACAGTCTCCCAGGACCAAACTGAGGACATGCCTAGAGGTGTGGCCAGAGCTTTGTGGGCCCCCCAGCCCCCGCCCTCCCTTTCCATCCCCAGCTATTCCTTCTCCTCAGGCCTCAGGGCAGCCTTACCCCCTAGTCTCCAGGAAGAGAACACCTAGGACCGAGCAGGACGCTGGCCTGGGCATGACACCGGTGACTGTAGGCCGAGTGCATCCTGGGATGTCTCAGGGAGGCCCTGGGAAGGGAGCCAGGAAGAAGTTCACAGGCTGGAAGGGAGAGGGTAACAAACCCCTGTGGGAGGAGGCCTGCCCCACTTTCTAAACCTGAAGAATTGGTTTCTATTTACACAACACTGCACAGCCTGAAATTCTAGAGCCCGTGAGTAATACAGGGCAGCCCTGATTCTCCCCGTTTCTCAGGAAGAAATTCGGGCATTAGTGACTTCTCCAAGGCCTTGGAAGTTTCTGGCCAAGTTGGCCTCACTCTCTTGTGTCAAACTGACCTAGAAGGAAGGTACAGTGGGCCTCACCAACATGCTGGAGAGAAAGCTTCTGTCTCAGGGAGAAGATGGCTTCCCCCCACCTCCCCAGGACTCCTTAAACTTTGGGGGGTTGGGGCACACCCAGACGGGGCCATCCTTCACCTGGGAAACAGAGGCGTCCTACTTCTGTGCCTGGAGCCAGTGAAGCAACGTGAAGGTTTGGACATGGTCTTGCTCTCTGCAAGCTTCCAGGCTTGTAGGAAGGACACGTAGACGTGGATCGCCCCCAATGCCAGGAAGAAGTGATCCTTTCTCTGAGAGATGTGAGGAGCAGGAGTGGTTCGAGGCAGAAAGTGGCTTTCCGCTGGAGAGCAAAGAGGGCTTCCCGGAGGGGGTGCCTTGGGAAGCGTAAGCCACGGCCTAGGGACAGGTGGTTCAGTTTGTCTGGAGTCTCGGGTGGAGGTGAGGCTAGAAAGCTAGTTTGAAGCCAGCTCCCGGGGGACGCCGATCACCACACTAAGGAGCCGTGGCTTTATCTAGCTAGCGGTTGGAAACCAGCGATGGTGTTGGAGCTGGGGGGTGGCAAAGCTGGAGCTCACTTCCTGAGAAGACCTGGCTGGCTGCATTGGGAGTCACAGCAAGGTGGGTCCCGGCAGCCCTGTAGCAGGACGCAGGTGGCAGGAACTAGGCAGCTCATACCCCGTCCGTCCACCCTCCAGATTTGGGACCCCGAGTGCATAGCCGCACCCTGTGGGGAGAGTTGGGGGTTTGGAATTCCGAGAAGCCCACTCTAGGGTAGGATTGCTTTGACAGGTAGCCAGTCAGTGGCACAATTGCCAAAAACTCAGATAGCATCCCTAATGTGGTCCAGACCTGAGGTCCCACAGCTGTCCCGGAGAGGTCTGGACCCTCCTACCCGAAAAGGAGGAGGCCTCCTGCCCTGGGCGAGGCAGGAACGCTGTGATGTGTCCTCGGACCCCAGGTGGCATCACCTCTGGCTTCTGGCAATGCCTCCCACCGCTTTGACACAGCACAGCTCCTTGGCCTCACAAGGAGCTCTTTAACCCATTCTCAGCCCCTTCCTGGTCCATTGTGACATAGGTGCCTTGAAGGGGGGCCACCAAGATGGCTGCCAGGAGGGTGACTGGCTAGGCAGGGTTGAGAGCCTCCTGTTCGCCCTCCTCCCAGCAGGCACACGGGCATCTGACCCACAAGGGTGCTGGCTGCTCCCAGGGATTATTAGGTGAATGCTGGTAGGTCCCAAGATTTCAAGGCGAGAAGTCCCTGGCTTGCCTCTTGCCTCTGGCACTGAGTTGGCACAAAGGCAAGACAGTTCCTTGCCCCCCGTGTGGACGGAGTATTTCGTTTAGCTGGAGGGAACCTTTGGCCATTCGGCAACTCTAACTGGAATCCGTGCTGGACTGTGGCACCTGGAAGGTGGGCAGGACTTCTGTTGGGAAGCAGGGGCACTGCTTCCTGGAGGTGGTTGGTGCCTGGTTGCCAGAGAAGAGTGCTGGGGGTCCCGGGTTGTACCCTCTGGAGCCCGGAGCCGAGGGTCAGATGGCTGCAGGTACCCCGCTGTTGGCCCAGCAGTCTTTCAGCAGGCAGCAGCTGCAGAGTCGGCAGAGAGAAAGGCTTTCCTCCAGGGGCTGCCTCTGGGAAAGGCCACAGGCCTGGACGCACAGGGGACCACTGTGGCTGAGCGTGTGGCCCAGGTCCTTCTGCAGTCCCTGGTTCCAGGCGGTGTCCGCGGCAGGAGGATCCTCTGGTGGGTCCTGGGTGGCGGGGACGCCCCATCACATCTTGGTAGATTCCGTGCAGTCACAGTCGAGGTTGTCCTCGCAGCCCGGCAGGGGGCGTCTGGGAGCAGGCCTGCCTCTGCGGAAGCTGTGCAGGGAGCGGCGCAGAGAGCCCAGGCGTTTCCAGAGCCTGAGCTGGGGCTCGCTGGGGCTCCCGGGGTGGTGGGGCATGCACTCCCGAGCCCTGCGGCTCGGGTCCAGAGCGGCCGGTTTGCAGAGGGTCATGAAGAGCAGACAGCTGGCCAGCAGAAGGAAGATGCAGGCCAGGGCGAGTAGCGCCGGGAGGGGGTCAACTGCCTCTGTGGGACTGCCGGCAGTGACAGGGGCGGTGAGGAAGGCGAGGGGGCTGGGACCCTGTGTGCTCATGGCTCCTGCAACAGGAAGGGGAACGTTGATGGGGGCTGGGTGCTGCTAAACTAGCCGCAGACAGCATCACAGCCATTGTACAGGTGAGAACAGTGAGGACCAGAGAGGTGACAAGTCTCAGGTCACACAGCAGAAAGTGATAGAGCTGGGCCTGAACCCAGGTCCCCTTTCTGCTCTACCCCCGGCCCACTTGCTACAGAGGAGGCAGCAGGGTGATGCCTTCTGGCATTTTTAAATCAATCCTCATGAATTACACTAGTCTTCTGCCTGAAAACCTGGGATATAAGACCAACTCCGTCAATAGCTTGCTCTGTGACCAGGAACAAGTTATCAGTTATAGGATGCTGCAGCTGGCAAAGGCCCTAGAAATTATCTAATGTTGGGGCTGCAACCTGGGGGCCCGCAGGTACATTTCATTGGGTCCTTATCGTGTTTTTGTAAATGTCAATTAATCACGAGTATTTTTAAAGTCACAAACCCAAAACGAAGGGATTTCACATGGCTGTCTGAATGTCCGGCTGCTCTTGAAATTTGAGAATTGCCACACTGGCAGCCAGTTCCTGCCTGGCACTCAGTAGCTGAGGCTGAGCAGCCTTTGTCCCCTTTAGAGAGGTCTCTGGCCCCCAGGTCACCGCACTCCTTCACAGGTCCACCACACACCTTATTTCACCTGCCTCGCCCCATGGGCGTTCCTGCTGGTGCTTCCCAGTGTGACCCAACCTGCTCCCATGACAAGGAAGAAACTGAGGCCCCAGCAAGGGAAGGCCAAGCCCATGCTGTGAGCCAGTGGCCAAGCGAAGACCAGAACTAGGTTCCCTGACTCCTGGCCCTGTGGCTCCCAATCCTCGGAGATCACTGAGCAGCTCTGAGAACAGGTGGGAACCCACAAAGAGCTACACGGTTGACTCCCCCTCCAGACCCCAGGTACCTGTTATCACTCACGGCCATCCCGCTAAAGGGAGCTCAGCAAACAATCTTTGTAGATGGAAAATCAGGCTGAGCTTCTGGTTGGATAGGTCTGGGATTGCAAATAAAAATCCTTAGAGCACATGGCCGGTAGATAACTTGTGACAGAGGACCCTCAAGCAGGTGGCGGTGCCTCGGCCAGGCTGATAGAACGCAGGCCCGGCTCTTTCCGGTTTCCCAAGAGAAGCCAGAAATCTGGATTTTTCAGGCAAACGTTCCTGGCGTTTCAATGTTGGCAAGTAATGCAAATTTGGTTAAACCAGGAGAGGGGCACAGGAAGGGGGATATGGTGCCAAAGTTAAACAAACTCGACTCCAAAATAATGTGCAATGAATTTTCAAATATGTAAAACACTACAACAGGCCAAACAAAACACGCAAGCGGGCCACCGCCAGCTCTCAGGCCAGCACTGATGATGTTTGATTTCTACAAACGCAGGACAGGAAGTCCAAAAGAGGGCCTAAAAAAAAAAAAAAAAAAAAAAAAAAAAAAAAAAAAGATCCTTTATTTCTCTTTGACCTTAGATACTTTCGTGCGGCGGGGACAGCAGGTTTCCCCCTTTCTCCCGGCTTGTAGCTTAGAGTAAACTTACGGTTGAGTTTCCAGCGTGACGCTCTGCAGAGTTGTGCCAAGGCTCTGTATGTGGGTTGCCCAGAGCCCGTGTCAGCAGGCAGTGGGGAGTGGAGAGGGCCCCCCGCCCCACCCTCTGGAGCCCCTGTCCCTACCCCGGGCACTCACCAATGGCGGCAGGACCTGACTCCCAGCTCCCAGCGCCCAGCCTCCTTCCTGCTCGCAGCCTCACCCTGCGCCCGGCCAACTGAGGGCACACAGCACAGCCCGCCTCCCACCCATTCCCTGCTACCACTCCTTCCCACGTTTCCAGACAGAACACGACCCCTCCCGGCTCCCAGCTGGAAACTTTGATGCCCGTCTAGCTGCCCAGGGCCGCTGCCTTTCAGGCATCGGGCCTAGAGGGCACTCCAGCTGGGCGGCCATATGTGGTTGGCCGTCCCTTGAATATGAGCATGGAAAAGGGATGGGGTGTGCCCACCACAGGGAGAAAACTGAGAAAACGTGCCCCCTCTCCTACCCTGGGCAATCTGAAGCGGGAGAAGTCTCAATCCTGCTAGTCCGGACAGTATTTCAAGGCTGTCACATGAGTCTGGGGACCCTATCAGACCAGCAAAGCTGGCCCAGACTCCAGTCCTTGGGGGAAGCACTTTAATAAAAAGGCACGTGAGGCTATAATTAGCATCTTAGTAGTTTTCTTGGAAGCGAGCGATTCTAAAAGGGCTTGAAGACATCAAGCCACCCTCCCTGGAACACACAGCAAAACCAGCTACCAGACCCTTTTACAATCCCTCTGATCCACCAAGGGTCAGCTGGTTGCAGGGAAAAGAGGCCTCCACCAGACCGAGGCTAGGAATGATCTCGAGAGCAGGTGAAGCTTCTCCCTGCCCGCAAGCCCAAGGCACGCTGGCAGGCCCCTGCTTTAGACGGATCTCTGCAAGCTCAGTCAAGGACGTTCTTTTTTCCCTCAGAAGTCCCTAGAACAGCAGCACCTGCTGGAACAGAAGAACTAACCTCAGGGTACATCTTGCTGTGTGGCCTTGGGCCAGCCACCGTCCTTCGCTGGGCATTGTTTCCACTCTGCAGAAAGCAGAAGGACCCCCCAGGTCTGCACGCACCCTCACACCCTCCCCCAGAGTCCCCCAGCAAGGGTCTGGCCCCACTTTCCTCACCACACCTTCTCCTGCAGCTCCCCGAACTCTGACCTCAGAGCCAGCGCTCAGCAGTCCCAGGCTGGGTAGAAAGGTCTTCTTAGCTGTGCAAGAGAGGCCCAAGGAGCACCGGGTGCCACCCGTGACCCCAACTTGCCCCGGCCTCTGCCGTGCCCTGTGCCCCTCAGTCAGCCAGGCTGGGCAGAGCGAGCTGTCTTCACTCACTCTCCAGCTAGCCCTGGCTTTGTCTGGAAGAGTTTGGGCCCTGCCTTGGGGGAGGGGACAGCCAAGAAGGGTAGGGATGGCAACTGGGCTGGGCAGAGGGAGAGGGGAGCCAGGCAGAGGAGCCCAGTTGCTCCCCAAGCCTTCCCGGGGCCTCACTTCAGCTGGTCTCCTTGGAGCCCTCTCAGCGGGCAGGGTGGAGGCCTGGGGGAGTCACGGGGAGGGTTTCGCTGCCCCGGCAGCAGCCCTCACCTTCCCCCATCGGGTGTTTGAATGGTATGGTCGGTAGCCAGAGGGTTGCTATTCAGTGCCTGCCAGCCTCCAGGTTACCCGGGAGAGGGGAGAGAGGAGAGGGGCTACAGCCCAGCAGCAGGGTGATAGGCCCTGGCTGCTCCCGGGCCCCTCCTCCCCTCCTGCACCCCTGCGCCCCTCACCTCCCAGGCTTACCACTCAGCTTCCCAGAAAAGCACCTGCCCTTTGAAGGTGTCTCGCTGCAGAAGGGAGGGGTGAGCGATGTTTTCAAAGGTCAAAGAGATCTTAGGGCAGAAAGCACAGAGTTGAAGGCCAGCCGTGGCTATGTTCCTTATAGTTTGGGTGGGCCCTTGGAGACCCTCCAGGTGGTGTTTCTCCAGCTCTCCCGCACCACACACACACACACACACACACACACACACACACCCCTCCCCAATCTTCTTTCTTCCCGGAAGCCAGAGCCTCCCCAGCAGCCAGCTGCCTGCAAAGGAGCCTAAGTCGTAAGCAGCTTCCCCGTCGAGGACCCCCCCCCCCCCCGCCGCCCAAGCTCCCAGAAATACAGCACAGAGATCATGGTGCCTGGGCCATTGTTCCAGAGACTGAGGATATAGCAGTGGACAAAGTCCCTTCTCTCCGTGGGAATATAGATAGTAAACAAGGTTATAGTATATCAGAAGCTGATGGGGGTGGGGACAGCCTGGGTATTGGAGTGGTGGGGAGTGGGGGGGGGGGCTGCAGCTCCACATACAGCAGTCAGGGAACAGATGACATTTGAGCAGAGACCTGAAGGCGATGAGGGCGCGAGTATAACACAAACCCGGAGGGAGAGCTGGCCGGTGGAGGAAACAACATGTGCTTGACATTCAAGAACCAGCAGGGAGATCCGTGTGGCTGGGGCAGAGCTGGTGAGGAGGGGGTTGTGGAAAATGAGCTCAGATACTCCCACTTCTCACCAGTAGGAAGGTGGACTCGCTCTTTCTCTGGGCCCAAGGTCCAAAATCTCAGCGAAGGAGCAGACTGACCCAGTTTTGATGAGGTGCCCCCCCTCGCAGACCAGCCACCGCTGGCCCCGGTCAGTAAGGACCCGGCAGCCTCGGTGCTGCGGTGAGAGGTGGAGAGAAGAGGGCAGATCCAGAAGCGAGAGGTCCAGGGCATCACAAGGCAATTCGCCACAACTCGAGACGACACGCCGAGGCCCCGAGTCCGCCCGGCCATGCCATCGGGCCTCTTCCTGCAGCACCCTGCGGGGGAGCGACCTCAGCTCGCTTCAGGCACGTGGCAGTAGAGTAGGTGTTCGGTTCTTGGTTCGACAGGACCCGCCTTGGGGCTGGCGGTGACTCTGCCAGCAGCCTCGAGGCTGGACTCCTTGTGAAAACGGAGAGACCCTGGGTGGGGTCTCTGAGTGAGAACAGCACACCCCAGGTCCCACCAGGGACAGCCCACAAGCCCCGGTGACCTGAAATAGACCGGAGCGAACGCATGGGTGGTTGAGTACGGAGCCACCTGGCGGGAGGTGGGATTTCTGGGGTTCCACCAAGTGGCTGTTTCGGTACCCGGTGCCCAGCCGGGACTCAGCGTGGCCAGAATGGCTTCCACCCGGGAAAACTGGGGGCGAGGTGCAGCCGCACGTCCAGCCCCACCCCAGATGAGGCTCCTGGGGTCTCAGAAGGAGGAAGGAGGAAAGCAGGCTCCCGTGGGCTGACCTAATCAAGCCTGGATCTAGAGAGCTCCAGTGTGCCACCCTCCACCCTCTTCCCTACCCTCCCCAAGACCCTGGTGGAGGATCAAGGAGCAGAGCTGACGGGTCCCCTGCCAGGACAGGGCAGCATAGAGCCCTCAACAGGCGTCCTTGTGGGGGTCGAGACGGGCATGTCCTTCGCCTCTGACGCTCCCCCGGCTTCTGTGGGCAACCACAGGTTGTCCAGGATGGGCTGGGGGCGGCGTGGAGGGCGGGAGAGGGGCTTCACCAGCGCCTCCTCTCCCCGTGGGGTGGCGTTCAGGGGGTGACATGTCTCATTCTCCCTCAGCTCAAAGCCACAGATGCAGATGAGGGCGAGTTTGGGCGCGTGTGGTACCGCATCCTTCACGGTGAGTGGGTTGCCCTCCTGCGCTGAGGAGGGCCGAGCTTCTCCAGGCTGCCGGGAGTCTGGGAAGGGAGGCCAAGGAAGCCTTAGGCGCCATACAAGCCACACACACGGGCGGCGGGCGGCGGGCAGAGGGGGGAAACGGACATTCTCTGATCGTTCGCACCAAGTTGGGTGTCTTTGAAGTGAGCCTGCTGCGCTTGATTGCTGTCCTCCTGGAGTGCCTCGAGTGGGAAATCACCCTGACAGAGGGGGCCTTGGGGGAGGGCGGCCCCCGGCAGTGAGCCCCCCAGACATTGTCACCAGCCCAACATCACTCAGACACTGGGAAGGTGCCCTCAGCGAGCTGGCCGGGAGTCTCGTTGGGCCAGCCAGCATCACGTGACCATCCCTGACCCGATTACTATTGGCCAGAGATTGAAATACGCCGATCTGCCCGCTCTTGGAATCGGGGGTAAAACCACCCCTGCGCAAAGCACGTGGACTGATGGTGGAGGAGGGTGGACCCCCCCAGCGGAAAATCGGCGTGCTCTTACCCCAGGACGGTGGAAAGTCCTGGACCAGCCCAAAGATATACACAAAATCCTCACTTCAACAGCCCACAGAGAACTTGCCTTTGTGTCTCTTCTTGTACTGTCCCAGATCTTTCTGAAATTTTGAATCCCCTGAAACGTCGTATAGGGGTCTCAGGGGACCCCCAGCCTTCCCATAAGGAGGGTACAAGGTGGGCTCCCGTCCCCTCCCTCAAATCCTGCCAGGCCAGGGCAGCGTGAGGCAGAGGCCTCCTTGCCATCGTAGGCTTTGTCCAGGCTGCTGAGACCTCTGTGCGGGGTCAGCATTCTAGGGGTCCGGGCCCCACATTTTCCCCATCGCCATGCTATGAACATCCCATGCCCTGCTCCAGGCCAGAGCCCATGCATCTCCTCTGTCCCTCGGCACAGGTAACCATGGCAACAACTTCCGGATCCACGTCGGCAACGGACTCCTGATGCGAGGGCCCCGGCCCCTGGACCGAGAACGGAACTCATCCCACGTGCTGATAGTGGAGGCTTACAACCATGACCTGGGCCCCATGCGGAGCTCCGTCAGGGTAAGGTGGGGGGGGGGGGGGGGGGGGGGGGGGGGGGGGGGGGGGGGGGGGGGGGGGGGGGGGGGCTGGCACATAGCCAGTCAGCAGGCCGTGAAGCCCTGCCTCCCCTTCAGCAGTGGCCTCAGAGCTGGGCCGAGACCACAGCCGGACCAGAGATGGCCACCAGCTAAGGCTCGGTGGGGGCCGGGAGCCACTGGTTTTAGTTGCTGAGTGACCCGGGACTAGGTGTGTGGTCGAGGAGGCCAGAGCCCAGCCTGGGATCTTGGAAGCGTCCTTTTGTTCTGAGCCTCAGTTTCTCCAGATGTGGAAGGGGGTCAGCGATACCGATGTCGGTCCTAAGAGACGGGAGGGGTGTCCTTACCCTGCTAACCCCCACAGCCACGCCACTCGCTAGGGAAATCTCACAGTTACGATCTCGGAAATAGAGACGTTGCCAACTTCAGTCTGCGTGAGGAAACTGAGGCACAGAGGCGTCGCTAGTGCCGGACCAGGACTCGAGCCAGGACTCCTGAGTCCAGGCTCCGCGCACTTCCCATTGAAAGTGTCCCCCAAAATATTCCAGTTACCGCTCCCGGCTGCTGCAACAAACGTATTCTTTTCCGCCCACCCTCACTCGCCTCGAGCCTCTGCCCTACGCGGCTGAAATCAGGTTAACCTTGATCTTCCCGAATGGTCGAAAACAGACACACCGGTACCCCTAGTGGCTGGGCCGGTTTATACACTATTCTGCCCCGTGGCAGAGGGATGGCTGAGGCAAAGGACACGACCTCTCGAGGCCACCCCACCCTACCCCCACTGCACACTCAGCAGCTCACAGCCCCTTCCCCAGCACCAGGTGGAAAGTGAGTCAGACCCCAAAGGTGAAGAGTAGGAGGAAGGTGGGAAAAGCCGGGGTGGGGAGCAGGCAGGGACTTTTACCCAGGACTGAGTATGAGCTTCTTATCAGCCACATCTCCACCCCGCTCTTTCCCCGGGGCTGGAAACAATGAACAGAAGCCTGGGTCACCATCATGCGGGAGGCGCTAGAGAGTAGGTGACTCGGCCTTGGCCCATCTGCTGATGCCCCCGCAGCTTTGCCCCAGGAGGAGATGGAAAGAGAAACCTGGGTCCTTACAGCTGCCCCTCTGAGTGAGGGTCTGTCCAGGCACGGACGGCTCAGGGAGTCACACCCCTTGGGCTTTCACACCTTGGGGCTGCTTGGAATGATTCCAGCGCCCTGGTGACTGCCGGTCGCACCACGTGCCCCGGGGCATCCCCCCACGGCCACGTTCACCTGCACGACTGCGAATCGCTTGCTCGCGTGCTGATTAGCGCACTCGCGTCACGGCTTGCTATTTGTGGAGCCGACTTCAGGCCGCAGAGTGACTGATGTCAGGGTAGCTCGGGTTGGCTCCCTGGACTTTTGGCTTCCTGATCACGGCCCCCCTTGTGGCCCCTCACTCCCCACCCTCCCGGGAGCAGGTGGGCACTCTCTCCAGGGCCTGCCCCTGTCGGCCTCGGCATTGTGACTGCAAACCTCCTTTAGCCACCAACCTTGGTAGACAAAATGGTGTGCAGTGCCCCAGGGCATATAGATCGAAGCCAGGCTGTGACGGTCAGCGCAGGGATGAGACACTGAGAAGCACACCTGCTTGGACACGCTCCTTTCTGTCCTCTCCCCTTGGGCCATGAGGAAGAGCAAACCCTCATGTGAACTCGAAGTGCTTTCTGTCCTTGAACCCTTTCCTCTTTCTTTTTTAAATTTTTTTGTTTTTTAGGAGGAGGGTGGGGAGGAGCAGAGAGAGAGAGAGAGAGAATCCCAAGCAGGCTCTGCCCTGTCAGCACAGAGCCCGACACAGGACTCGATCTCACGAACTTGAGATCATGACCTGAGCCAAAATCAAGAGTAGGACGCTTAATGGACTGAGCCACCCAGGCGCCCCTGTCATTGAACTTTTTTTTTTAATTTTTTTTTCCAACGTTTATTTATTTTTGGGACAGAGAGAGACAGAGCATGAACGGGCGAGGGGCAGAGAGAGAGGGAGACACAGAATCGGAAACAGGCTCCAGGCTCCGAGCCATCAGCCCAGAGCCCGACGCGAGGCTCGAACTCCCAGACCGCGAGATCGTGAGATCGTGACCTGGCTGAAGTCGGACGCTTAACCGACTGCGCCACCCAGGCGCCCCTCATTGAACTCTTTTAACCCTCCTAACAGCCCTACGAGGGAGGCGTTGTCATTATACCCATTGTACAGAGGAGTAGACTGAGGCAAAGAGGGGTTGGCCAACATGCTTAGGGTCCCATAGCAGTAAGGGTAGAGCTGGGCTTCACGCCCCGGCCGTCCAGGCAGGTCTGTGCTCTCAGGTACTACACCGTGCTGCCCTATATACAGGCCCTTCGGAGCACAGAGACCGCTGCCCAAAACCCGAGTCATTTTAAGGTGGGAATTTAGGAGCCGGCACCCAGGGCGGGGGCTTGATAGCCCTTGTAAGACACAGCCGCCACACCTCTGGGCCCCAGGAAACCTGGGAGCTTCCCTGAAGACAGTGTGGGGACTCCAGCTTTGCCCCAGATTCACTTGCCCAGCAGCAGTGGAGACGGCCCCTAGGCACCACTCTATTCTCCAGTTCCCACTTCAGAGACCAGGGCCCGGGAGCACAGAAAGTCCCCCTAGAGACCGGGGACCTCACATGCACACTGCGATTTTGCACACGCCTGTGCACACATCTCCTCCCCTGTCCCTGTTGGAGGGCACAGCGCTGGGCAGACAGTGGGGCTGGTTCTCCAGGGAGCCTGGTGGTTCGGTCGCTGAGCCCTCCCGCTCACAAGAGCTTGGCAGACCTGGGCGTTTCCTGTACATCTGTGTCTCTCAGGTTTGTAAACCACACCGTTTTGCCTCCTGTCTCTGCTGCTAAAAACAAGGCTGAAACCAACAAGAGGCTTAGAGGTATGGAGACAGCCTCATAGAAGAACGGGCCACACCCAGGCTCCATGCCACCTCCGTCCTCCTTATCGTGCTGGCAGAGTGGCCCTGGTTTTGTCCCCACGACCCTTGGAGGAAAGGCCATTTGGACGAGCACACTCGGGAAGGGGAAGGCTGACGGTTTTGAAAGATGGATGGTTAGTTTCTGTTTACAGAAAGAGAGTTCCCGAAATTCGTCCATGCAAATTCCCCCCACACCCACCCCACCCAGCATCTTCCCAGCCAAGTTCTTGGTGAAGCCAGACTTAGAAGGTTCCAGTTCGTAAGCAGCTGCACTCCGGGGCGGGCACTTTAGTTTGCATAGTGGGTTCTGGGCGTCTGGACATGAAAATGTGATGACACAGCAGGGCTCAGGAACCCCAAGAGCAGGGAAGTAGAAAAACCTTTGCCCG